GGATGAAACCAAGACGGATGTTAAAAGGCGAACAAAGCACCCAGAAACTGGCTTTATAGTACTTTTTACCTCTAGTTATACGAAATGTAACTGCTAAGTAAAACAAGCCCATGGCAAAATTATTTTGTGACTATTCTGTTTCTTTTTTCTCTGCAATGCTTCATGGAGAGACTGACCAGGATGACTTTTGACAAGTTATTCTGAAATACAACTGTTACAGCCTGGTTTCCTACTAACCACATCACGCGTTGATACACATGACAGAGCTCACAGCCTCACTCTACGTAGGATTTTGTGTGTGTATGCAGCCCCAGATACACATATATACAAATACATGTGAGGGTGAAACTGTGGTCGGACACTCCCCTTGGAACCTTTGTCTGACTAGATATCTACCTTTGTGAAAGATATAAGGACTTCACCTTGAAGATTTTCACTCCTCATGACAAAATTGGTAGCAGTTATTCAAGAGATTCAGAAGTTGTTAGAGACAGGTACATAATATACTCACAGCAGTAGATTACAAAGAGATACTGAGCCATGATAGATAACCTACTAAACATTCTTACTCCAGTAAGTCAAAGCTTTAAACTAATATACCAAAAAAGAAATCCCTTTATTTAAAACAAAATAGCTTTCTCCCTCCAGTTTTGTGGGGTTTGTTTGTTTGTTGGTTTTACTTTAAATAAATGATGCTGCACAAAGTGCTAAGAGCCACTGGATTTTACAAAATAAAGTTAGAACTTGATTTGTATATGAGGATAAAAAAAAAAAAAATATATATATATATATCTACTGATATGTGAACTTCAAAGACCAATTTTCTACAGTATTTGGTAATTAGAATACAAGTAAGCCTGTAAGCAAGTAATACATTCACTTAACTGTATGTTGTAGCAGTCCCAGTGCTGTTCTGTTCTTCATGCTGTAAGGGTTCATAGGAGTTGGGAACAGAATATGCAGGTTAGACCCAAAAAAGTCGACAGTTGGATCAGAGACATACCCAGTTATTTTGTCAGTGCTCAGCTGGTATGTGTCCAACAAAATTATTTGGAAATTACCCTGAAAATATATGCAGCATCACTCAACAAGCAGAAACACAGATGAACTCAGTGGATGGATGATTTTCCACTGACCCAGGCAAGCCTTTAGGTTTCTGTGCCTGATGTTCTCCACTTATAAAGTGATCAGTTTTACAGCAAAGTCAGGGACTTCCTACACCTTACCTATCATACATGGATTCCATTTTGGGTTCACATGCTAACACTCATAACTTAGTTTTAATAGGCTATTGCATAGTCCAGCATATGAACAGGTTATTATATTAATTTTAAACCACAAGACATAGTGAACAACCATGTATTAATTTGTAATGTATTTATAAAAGTTATATTTATAACACTTTATAAACCTCTGAGAAGTGGAATGTGCCTTAGGATCAGGTTGATTATATCTTTTTGGGTTTTAACAAGCAGTCATCCTTGGCCTGTCTGGTCAGCTGCTGCAGAGTGACTCATGCTCATATTCTTCATAATTGGGCAAGAGGAAGAGGAATTTTATAGAATCACAGACCTTCAAGATCATTGAGCTCAACCATTTTCTTCAAAAGAAGAGTTTTCTTTAATACAACTTGTAGAAAATTCCTAGAATGCATACAGTGGAAAGGGCTGGGGATCAGGAGTCAAGAACTAAACCAAATGAAGTGTGGCCACATCATACAAATCAACAACTTGTGTGAGTACACAGGATGTCCCTTCAAAACAAATTAAAAGAGACAATTTTTTAAATAGAATTTTATTTGAATGTCTGAAAATTCCACATTCTCAAAAATATCCTTGGAAGATACCACAAAGATGTATGTAGAATGAGTTCATGGGAAATGGAGGCAGTAAAGAAATATGTATTTCTATTAGATGAAGCAAGGACAAAAAAAACCCCACAAGAAAATGGTAATTACTACTTCTGCAAAGAACAGTCAACACTGTTAAGCTAACACAAGCACTAAGTAACTAGGGTAAGACATTTCCTCTAAGTCGCACATACAGGGGAAAAGAGGGGCTGAACCAACGTTGTGCTTAACTAGCAAATTTGGGTAATATGCTAAATTAACCAAAAGCCCATCACAGCCCTAGCGGATTTTTCTCATCGAAGGTCTTCTGGTGTTTGACAGCAAAGCATAAACCAAGACTGACTCACAAATATCAGTCAAGATTCAAATCAGTCCTTCTTATCTTTATAATTGGAAAGGATTTCCTTGTGACTTAAATTGTTATTAAAAAAAATACAGGAGTATAAGAGCACCCTTTGAAGAGATCCACACATTTATGAAGAGCTAATTACACTGCTGATCATTCAAAACAGGTTCATTAAGAACTCAACATGTGGCACAAGAGTGATTTTATGAGTGGTCTTATTCCTGCACCAAGTGAACCGAGAAGTGAAAATCCTTGCAAAAAGCCAAGAGCTACAAACATAATCCTCTAGTATGCCATGTCACAGCAGGTAAGATTAAAAAGACAAAAAGGAACACCTCAAGACTGCAACAACAAAGAGTTTATTAGAGTCAAGAATATATAATCACTGTACAGAAAATATTCAGAGTTAAAGTGTGAAATACTGAACTGCTCACTGTGCATTCTGGATGCTGAGTCTGTTAGTGATGATTTAATTGGCTGCCTATAGCTGGCTAACTTAACGGCACTTAAAAACATTTTTGTAAGCAGGGAAGAAATGATTGTCTTTTCTAAATGACAACATTGCCCAAAGTGGGAAATAAAGGATCATATGAATTATATTTAAAACTTACTCAAGGAACAAAGTTTCTGAGAAGGGAAGAGAGGAGACTGCCATAATTTTGTGTTTTTTCGGACTGAGGAACTGTAGCCCCACTGCTGACATTTTGTATATAGTCATGTTCAGTACAGCAGTGATTTCTAATTTTAAATAAGAAAATATATTAACAGAATTTAACACCAAATTCAGCCTCTTCCAGTTATCTTTGGCTTGAGAGGAAGTTGCTCACTTCAGCCTCTGAGGCTCAGATGTTTTTAGTGGAAAGAAATGCCAGAGCATCTGAGCCCCAGGGACGGTATAAACAACCATTTTCCTTCAAAAAAAAAAAAAAAAAAAAAAAAGGTTGTTTTTAAACCTTCAGTGAACTGAGACTCAAAAAGCTTCTCTACCTCCTGAGAGGCTCTCAATTCTCCATGCTACCAAACCTGCAGCTTCTGCTTTCCAAAAACATTTGGTGAAGTCCACAAGGGCTTGAGAAAATCTTTTTCTTGAGCATTTGCTTGTTTCCACCACAGGTAGGAAAAAGACTTATTTTCTCCAATACTAAAAGAAAACAAAAAACACAGAACACGGCATTTATTCAACTTGGTTTACTCAAAAAGAACAAAAGTTACGCATAAACTGAACACTGTGTTTAAAAACATGGTTAAATGCCTAAAGGCAGGCGATTTTCACAACCCTTCAGGAGAAAAAACATGATGGAAACCAACTCTTGGTTTCAACCAACTCATCTGCTTCTCTACAAATGGTTTCATTTACACAATCCTGATGGTTGATTTTCCCTATTTTATTTTGGCATCCAACAGGAAGAAAACTGAAGCCCTGTCCTGAGGGAAAGGAATCACAGCTGCATTATAGGATGAGCAGCACTTCGACCACAGCTTGGAGATATTCTAATGCCACGTAACATTTAAGCTTAAATTGAGTTTGCTCCTACGAAGAGAGTAGTCACGTATTAGCACAATCCCAAATTGTACAGCTACATTTTAGGTGAGACACTCCTCATCGTCCAAGCTTTCACTCTTTCAATCACTGCTTAACATGAGCTCTGAATGCAACTAACTTGACTTTTAAATTTACAAGGGAAATAAAATGTGAATTTAGTCACTTCAACTGGAGATTGTTTCCTTCCTCTGCAGGAATAAACAACACTGCTAAAATGAAAATGACACTCCAGGAAGAAATGGTTATCCAGTCTTCATTAGTATCAACTAAAATTAGTATGTGCTTTTTCTCCTCTTGAGCACTATTATGCACCATCAACTTATTATAAATGCTAAATTTATCCACTTGTGAGAACAGTTTTTTGATAACCATTAAGGAGACAAGTACTACATAAAAAGGTCTGTAAAATATCTGTTAAGATAACAGATTAGAGATACATTAGAAAGTAAACTATAGGCTTCATAACACAGCTTTGAACTGAGCTCAATTTACCATATTGTTACAAAAGCACAATACCAAGCAGAGGCCAAAATATCTAGACTGCTTTATCCAAGAGTTTTACTTACTACAGTGTGACATATAGAATGCTGATACACAACAGTTACTATAATAACCAACCCTATTAAAAAGCTCTTAACTGCTGCAGTAGACAACACAGATTCCTTGTAGGCAGTAAGAGAGTAAGTATCTATCAATAAACAAACAAACAAAAAAAAAGTTGAAGGGCATTTCAAATGAAAAGTTGTGTCACATTAGGCCCAAATCTGCTGTTTAAGCATGTGTCATAATACCTGTGTGGTGATTTTTTTTTTTTTATTTTTTTTTTTTTTGACAACTTATATTACTATGAAGAGAAAGGCCATTGGCAATTCAATGCAGCATTATATATGAACAGACTGAAAGCTTCAACTGGCCACTGTGTAAGATGAATCCTTTACAGCAAACTCAATGACGCATTAATTGTTCATTTGTTCAACAATTTAGAGGCTCCGTGAAGACTCCAGCAGCAAATTCTTAAGATTACCTCAGACAAAAAGGAAAGATAATGGTTTTGACCAATAAAGTAGTAAATATCACTCAAAAGTGTCCTATCTCAGTTGTGATATAAAGAGAATAGACATTAATTACATTTTATTTTGATGGATATTTTGAAAGTTTGGGAGTTTTTTTGTTTGTTTTTTTTTAATATATAGAGCTCAGATTCTTAAGACTTGTCAACTGCTGATTAGTTTGTTCCTATTCTTTTTGTATCCTCCCGTCACTTATAAGTATCCAGTACTCTTGCAGGGGAAAGCCTGCAAGCATAACTGTTTACAGAAGACGAATGAAGGGAATAATCTGAACTCCAAAACTAGCAGAAGAATCTGACATCACATGGAGCCAAGAGATGCCTTAAACAGTAACAAAGCAGCATGCTATTGTTTTCATTTTAGGCACCCGATCCCAAAAGTAGAGGGGAAACCTAAAATCACACAGGTAGCAAACTGTGCAGCAGTGCATCAGGAGAGGTTAGGGCCTCAGGAAAAAAAGCCCAAAAGGCTCCATGCTGAAACCCAGCAACAACCAGCTGGAGAGGCAAAAACCCCAAAATGAGACAACTGGATGAGGCCTGCAGTAAGGAAAAAACTTTATTGTGAGGGTCATGGAGCACTGGGACAGGCTTCCCAGAGAGGTTGTGGAGTCTCCATCTCTGGAGATGTTCAAAACCTGCCTGGATGCTTTCCTCTGCAACCTGCTGTAGGGAACCTGCTTTGGCAGGGAAGTTGGACTAAATGATGTCCTAAGGTCCCTTCCAACCCCCACCATTCCATGATTAGTGGCTGCGATACCTGCTTATTTGGTATCCAAAGTGCAATACACACTGTGGGCTTGTTTTGCAACTCCCAAGATATAAATGGAAGATGCAATCAGTGCCTGTTGCTGTTACGTATCAGCTGATTGCTCAGAACACCAGTCCTGGGAGCTGGAAGCCTGAGGTTCAAATACTTGTGTACTTTTAAAATATTCTGTCCTGTGATTTTAAAAGCAGTTCTAACTGCTGAAGAAAGGTCAAGCAAGAACAAAAGTCTGAACTGAAAAAGAAAACGTCACCTAAATCAAACCTGTAAGCTCTGACTTACTAATACAGCTTCACAAATGCAATAACAATTATCTGGGAGACGTCAGCAATCACCTAATAACAATGAAGTAAAAAGATACATCTTAAAAAAAAAAAGTGACTGTCAATAAATGATTAAGAGAAAGGTCTATACTCATATTGAAGGCACTTAAAAATTTAATCTTGAACTTTTGTAATGGCTTTTTTTTTTTTTTTAAACCCCAAGGTAGGTGCTAGGCATTTTTCACTTTGCCTTATGAAATTGCTGTCATGCAGCCTATGATCACAGTAATCCGTAATGAATGACAACAAATTTTGCAACATTTTCATGTAATTACACTCCGTTTTTTCACATCACGTAAGAGATCACCTTTATTAAATATATATGCAGATGGAAATGACATTTTTGCTTCTTACCCTGTACAATTCTTCAAAATAAAAATTAAGTTTTCAGGAAACAACAGAGTAGTTGGAAGACCTTTAGCAAAATGGATAGCCATAAAAATAGTTATCCTCAGTTTCTAGCAGAATTTGATCAGTCTTTTGAAGAAAATCCTGGGATAATGACTGGCTTTTTAGATTGCTTTCATTTTTCCTCTCAATTCCATTCCTTTTCATGAGTCTAATACTTAAGGTGAACAGTATAATATCTTAAATCCCTGATAAACACCAACTAAATATGTCAGATAGCTTTAAGGGAAAAAACATTGTAAATCTGAAGAATAAATACTTTTCTGAATACAGTTTTATTCAACATGAGAATTAAACATTTTACTGTGGCTAATAGTAAGACAGCACACATATGCATAGTTAAACATTTCGTTCTCCATACCAGACCAAGGGTAAAATTTAACAGTAAAATTAGTGGAGACAATAATCTATTGCCACCGCACAACCTTAGCAAGAATCAGAAAATGTATAAGGGCGGATGGGACCTCTGGAGACCATTTAGTCCAACCTCCCTGTTCAAGCAGGAACAAACACGACAAGTTGCTCAGAATGCTGTGCTGTTGGATTTTAAGTATCTCCGCAAATGGAGACTCTGTCACCTCTCTGGGAAACCTGTCCCAGGTGTTTGATTGTCCTCACAGTAAAAAAAAAAGTTCTTTATGTTTAGATGAAGTTTCCTGTCATTCAGTTTGTGCACGTTGTCTCGTCCTGTCACTGGGCACCACTGAAAATAGTCTGACTCCATCCTCTTTACCTCCTTCCATCACGTATTTATATGCATTATCAATCTTATCAAGATTCCCCCTGAGCCTTCTCTTCTCCAGGCTGAACATTCCCAGCTCTTTCAGCCTCTCCTTGTATGACATGCTCCAAGCACTTGATCATCTCCATGGCTCTTTACTGGACTCACTCCTACTTGCCCACGTCTCTCTTGTACTGAGAAGCCCAAAAATGCATGGCACACTAGATGCTTCCCACCTAGCACTGGCTAGGGGGGATCACCTCCTTCCACCTGCCAGCAATGCTCTGCCTAATGCAGTCAAGGAAACTGGTGGTCCTTCTTTGCCACACGATCACATTGCTGCATCACGTGCAACTTGTCCACCAGAATATTCGAGGCTTTATTTGAAAAGCTACTTTCCAGATCATTGCACCCCTGCTGCCTGTCAGGCTATGCCTGTGCATGGCGTTATTCCTCACCAGGTGCAGGACCTAGCACTTCCCTTTGCTGAACTTCAGGAGGTTCCTGCGGGCTCATTTCTCCAGCCTATCAAGGTCCCTGTGAACGGCAGAACAACCCGCTGGTGTAGCAGCTACTCCTCCCAGTTTTGGTTTGGCTGAAACCTTGCTGAGGGAGCACTTTGTCCCATCACCCAGGGCATTAATGGAGTCTGGCCACAGCATCAACTCTCGGAGTACATCACTAGTGACTGGCCTCCAGGTGGAGTTTGTGCCATTGATCACAACCTTCTAATCCCAGGCACACCGGCCAGTTTCCAATCCACACCAGTGTCTGTTTCTCTGGTCTGTGTTGCCCCAGTTTGTCTATAAGGATACTATGGAAGGCAGTGTCACAGCCTTGCAAAAGTCAAGAGAAAGAATACCTACAGCTCTCACCCAATCCACTGAGCTAGCCATTTTATCATAAAAGGCCATCAGGCTGGTCAAGCATGCCTTCCTTTTTGTAAATCCATGCTGACTATTCCCAATAACCTTGAATTTATTCTGCAGGTACAGATCTACAGGTAGAGAAGAATCCATCTCTCCTAACGCCAGAATTCTCAAGCTTCCAGCTGTCACCATCCTTGTAATCTCCATTTCCTAACTCAGCACAATGTACCCTGCTTCTCCTTCAGCGTGGCTGGAGGTTCAGGTTCCTCTATCTACAAGGTCTTGACGAAGATGCAGTCAATTTCTTTCTTGTCAGTCCTGATACTGTGCAGTGTGCTGACCTCCTCTCACAGCTCCTTTACTTGCTGATGTTGACGTTTCATCACTGCACACCTCCTGCAAGCAAGGAGCCCAATTCCCACTGCCCCAGTAAGAAGTCTCAGCCATCCCCTACAGCCCCAAATCTGAAAAACTGCATCATCCCTCAGGATCTCCATCTCTGCTGAGGCCTCAGATAGCTGCTCATGCAGCCACTGGGGACTATGTTCTGTGGTACAGTGTCAACACTGCAGAAGATGTAGATGCTGTTATGAACAAAGTTCCTGGCCCCTTCTGTGTATGCTGCTGTATAACTAGCTGGAATGCACAGTTAAGGAAGTCTAGCAAAGGAAAGAAAGGAAGTTTATATTCACTCATTTACTATGGGAATGAAAGCCAAGAAGCTCTGGATCCTTGCAGCTCCCCTTGGTAATACAACCAGTTATATCCCACTTAGCATGTTTGCTAAGGTACTTTAAAATATATTCTAGGACCACTAAGAGCTTGCTCTCCAGTCCTGACAGCAAGAACACATGTTTAACTTGTTGGAAAATGAACTAAAACATCATAAACAATGAAGTTAAGTCCTGAACTTACCAGTCACAACCTCTCACCTTATTTGGCCTCCACTGAGACCATGAACTGAGAAGATATCTCACCTGTGCAAACTTGTGTATCTGCTCCACCACAGCTGCAAAGAGGGCATGGACACTTTCATCAATTAGACTCTGCATATAATGGACAGCTTCTTCATCAGACAGGTCCAAACGAAACTTGTCCTGCACCTGGAATGGGGGCAGAGATGACAAAAATTAATTAAATTCAACAGTTAAAACATATGCTATTCCAGCTGAACTAAACAGTATCAGACATAATGATTTAAGTTACGGAAGTTTAGTAGAAAATCTCTCTTTTACTTCTAAGTTACAGCTGATAATTGGAAATTTACAATGTTATGTAAAAAGCCTATTTTTAACTTCTTCATCAAAATGTGTATTTAAATAAGCTAGAAACAGCCCCCTACACCTCATCCCCCCAACTAGTAAATTCAAAGCTCAAGGTCAGAAAGTCAAGAGAAGTACCTGGACATAAGAATTTAAACAGAGCTAAAATTATATGAGAAAAAGAGAAATTACTCAACATTAGCTAACAAGAACGAAATGCCACTTGAGAAAACACACACAACTTTGCATATTAAAAACAAAGTTGGGAGAGTCTGCATGATCCTTATCATTTTCAAAAGTATCTAAACACTTCCTTATTCTAAGCATATTTTCAGATAAAATTGTCTTTCAGAAACTGCAAGGCAATTAAGTAAAGAATACAAAATCAGAGGAAGGAGCAAGAAAATCAACACCCTCAGAAATGACCTTTATATGGTAGGCAAGAATTTCATTAACTTTGATTATATCCACTGTCCACACACAGTTGATTGGAGACACTGCTCCCCCTCGTTTCCTTCCTTTTGACAGCAACATATTTTCACTATTCCACCAATAATGAACTTTGCTTAGTACCTGCAATTTGTTTATGAATTAAAAGCTGAAAGCACTATAATTAAGAATACAGCAACAATATCTATACTTCCTATTTCAGCCTTGGCAAAGCCTTGACACATGAATATTTACAAAGGTGCAGTGGATGCCTTTCTGTGAATTCCAACTAATTCCATGGCAATTGTTCAAGACTGCTCCAGATGGCAACATCTCACAAGCACTGTTACCACAGATTTTCCTTTGCTAATACTCAAAAACCCTGTACAGAGAACTGGCAAAAGCTTAAACAGATTTTTCTTTTTTTTTTTCTTTTTTTTGGCGGGGGGAGGTGGTGTGGGGCAAGAAAAAAGATCTGCTTTACAGGAGCCAATTAAGTTTTGCAGACATGCCTTATTCCTCACAACATTATGAGAGGCAGATGATAATAAGGCAATAAATAAGCATTTTGGATGAGTTCAAATTAACTCTATCCTAGCAAAACTAGGACAGTGCTAGAAGTATCTAAACATAATTTTCTAACTTTTCTGAAGTGCTGGCTGTGCAGCAAGATCTGCAGATAGGAATAGCAAGTGTCCCGATTCTTTCCAGGGAAATAAAAAATCATCACAATGGTTCAAAGCTGCGCTAGGGGAGGTTCAGACTGGACAGGAGGAAGCATTTATTTACCAAGAGAGTGGTCAAACACTGGAACAAGCTTCCTAGAGAGGTGGTCGGTGTCTCAAGCCTGTCAGTGTTTAAGAGGCATTTGGACAATGTCCTTAACAACTTGCTTTAATTTTTGGTCAGCCCTGAATTGGTCAGGCAGTTGGACTAGGTGATCACTGTAGGTCCCTTCCAACTCCAACAGTTTATTCTGATTTTTGGATAACAGTGCTAATTTTCAACCTGGAAAACCATTTGTGCTGTTTTAGATCTCCTAGCAAGTCTATGATCTCTCGGAATTAAGTAGTCTAAGATCCTAGCATTCTCTAATAAATCCTAAGCCCAGAGTTTAAAACTCTAGTCACCTTAAAAAGTAGCGTTGATCACAATATGAAAATTGCCACACAAATTCCCATTGCCTGTAGAAAATTAATCACTGTCATCACATGCTTTATTCTCATAAATTTCAAATAATGCAAGCTCTTATGGAGACCGTCACATTAATCTACTTTAGTTAAGTAAAACTGTGTAAAACAATTTTTGCATCAAGCATGCAACTTCTAGTTTATCTGTGAGAATCTCTTCTTATGGAGTTTTTATACTGAGACAGAATGCTTCACAGCCTGGGTAAATTGTTTCCGTGATTAACTGCCCTATTCAACAATTGTGACTTACTTCCTATCTGAATTTGTCCAATTTGTCCAATTCTCTATCTCAAACAGTTGAACCCATAAAAAGTTTTTACATTAAAGAACTGTCCATCAGAAATCTCTCTCATGTAGGCAAGGATCAAATTATTTTAGTTGCTTCTTAACCTTCTCCTGGATATGACTAAGAAGACTGATTGTAAGACAGACTCAAGTCTTTCCTGAACATTTTCCATTTGTTCACTTTTTTTAAGTATTGACAAAAATGTGAGTCAAATTATTTCAGCAATGTTCTTAATAAGGTTGTATTTGTCAGATGATACTACTTTCTCTTCTTATTTCATATTCTTTCTATGCACCAAGGATACCGCTTGTACTCTTTATGACAGCAAAATACTCTTGAGTTTTCAGTTTAGCATTACTCTGCATTATTTTCAAAAGCAAGGTATTCCAGACTAGTGTCCTTCAGCACCCCAATAAAAAGCCTAAGTTAGCATAATGCTGCCTCACTCAAAATACTGTTATAATTCTGTTGCTGATATGTTTGAAGTAAGCATAAATTGAGTTTTTCCTCAACTTCCCCTCAAAAAGAAGCTTGATTAATATGGAAGAATAGACTAAACTGAAAAAGTTCAGACTCTCAAGGAAGCAAGTACCAGGGAGAGATTGAGAAGATATTTCAGGCTAATATTATAGGATTTTTATCTTCATAACAAACACGATGAGTAGGAAGTTTATTATCTCCCACAGACATATTAGAAGCTTGACAGCCTATGAAGCACACAATAGAATCCAGCTGAATTTAACAGACTATTCACATGCTTGCAATTATGCACAAGCCTAAATACCTCCCCAAATTAGAGCACAGACTTCTATCAGATCTATTTTCACGCTCATAGGAAAGGGTGATGTATTGAGAATTCCGCAAAATTGCTAACTGCAGTGGAGGGGGGGGATAAATAAATAAATAAATAAATCCCTGTAATGCCCTCTTAGGCAACTCTAGTAATCACTCCAGTGATCTTCTAATTTTTTCACAGAAGAACTTCTCAGAAAGTCTTACAGCTACTGATGTTAAGATGCAGCTTCATTCTATGGAATTAACGACTATTTAAAACCACTTCCCACCTTCCACAGAAACAGACTGGCACACTGATACATGTGGAATGACATTTACCGACAGTTAGACCTTAGAATCAGCTTGCAGTTAACAGCAGGATCAAATGCTGCCGCATACTAGATCTTTGTATGAAAGTTTTTCAGCACTGCAATTAGAACTGGCTGCTGCAACCTACTCAAGAAGAAACACGGTAAGACGACAAATTACTTCTTAAACTGCAACAGCAGCAAGATTAATATACATCGACTTAAAGTTCTTGTAACAAAACCAATAATAATTCTTATTTGAAACCTCTGAGTTCCAAAGTAAAACATGTATTCCAAAAGTCAACAGTTTCTCACAGACGAGGTGCAACTAGGAAGAGATTTTTGCACGGTGTTATTTTTTTTTTTTAAAGTTAATTTGGGAGCTCAAATTCTGATTAGTTATACAATTATCTTATTCTACATGCTTAAGAAGAATGGCTCCATGAAGGCATCAAAAACTTCCCACTTGAATTGCTTACTCAGAGTTCTCACTGCAGCATTTAAATTAATTGTTTTAGTTTACCCATTAGTATTTGTTAAAGGGAAAAGAAACATGTCTGATGAATCTGGTTAAACTTCTGCTTTGTTTCCTGAAAGGAAAGTTTTAAACCCAACATGAGAAGCGTGGCCAGCATTTCTAGGGAGGTAATTCTCCCCCTCTACTCTGCTCTTGTAAGGCCCCACCTGGAATACTGCGTCCAGTTCTGGAGCCCCCATCACAAGAGAGACACAGAGCAGCTGGAACAAGTCCAGAGGAGGCCACCAGGATGATCCGAGGGCTGGAGCACCTCTCCTATGAAGACAGGCTGAGAGAGTTGGGGCTGTTCAGCCTGGAAAAGAGAAGGCTCCAGGGAGATCTTATAGCGGCCTTCCAATACCTGAAGGGGGCCTACAAGAAAGCTGGGGAGGGACTTTTCATAAGGACAACTAATGACAAAACAAGGGGAAATGGGTTTAAGCTGAAAGAGGGCAGGTTTAGATTAGATATTAGGAAGAAGTTCTTCACTGTGAGGGTGGTCAGACACTGGAACAGGTTGCCCAGGGAAGTTGTGGATGCCCCTTCCCTGGAGGTGTTTAAGGCCAGGCTGGATGAGGCTTTGAGCAACCTGGTCTAGTGAAAGGTGTCCCTGCTGATGGCAGGGGGGTTGGAACTGGACGACCTTTAAGGTCCCTTCCAACCCAAACCATTCTGTGATTCTATATATGCTGATTTTAAACATCAGGTCTCAACGGCTGGATTTGAATGTTTAAGGATGAAAAGGCTGGATGAAGAATGAGAAAGTCCATGAAGACACTGACATTCAACTTTCAAGGTTTCAAGTTGTCCACTTCCTATCACCGTGAACAGTGGATAGTTTAGTAATAAAGCATAAAAGAACAGGATTGCACAGTTATATGAATCTGCACGACTAGAAATTTTATTATACTTCAGTTAAATTTGAAGTGCCTTGTAAGAAAGCTACTGTCAATTAGCATGATAGAGCTTTGTTTTTTCCAAAGACAAAATAAAAATTAAAAGGAGAAGAGGCCATACATAAACCACAAGGGACAGTTCAGAAGAAAATATGGGGGGTGGGATTAGCTCCTTCACCTTCCAGCACAGTGTGCAGAACCAATACAATAACAGATACAGTGGGCTTCTGTTGGTGGTTTTCTCTTTGTTTGTTTTCTTGTAACTGATATATAACAAAGGTTTTCACATATTCTATTACATGCAATTAATTTCTTGGTATCTGGAGAGATTGTAGATTAAAGCATTAACTAAAAGATTTTCCTTTTTTAATGCAAAGATGAATGCATTCAGAACTAATTTTTTAATATGGCCTTAAGTTGCATTTACACATTTTACTTCTA